GGAGYAAGAGAGAGAGAGAGAGAACACTGTCAAATGGTCTTTGTGCTTCCCAATGATTTGCAAAAAGAAACCCCTCAGAACTCAAGGAGCAGTCTCTGCGGACGTCTCCGAGTTAGTATTCCATATTCATTACCGTTTTTTTCCACACTTACACGGGGAGATTTTAATTGCCTACAATTTAAACTAAAAAGCTAGATGAGCTGAGTGAAAGCACCTTGCCTCATGAGAGGGAGATGTGGGAAGTCCACCACCAGCACGTTCAGCCCCAGACGCATTAATAGGACCTCTCATTACTAGATTATTCCCTCAAGTATCAGCACAAGCTCTTTTTTATCCATAAGAGAGTTTAAGTCCAGTAATATGAGTCATGCAATGTGTCAATTTAAACGCAAGAAAGAAAAAAAAACACTAATCAAAAAATAAATAAATGTATGAAAACTTGATATTTTTTAAATATAAGGTGAAAATAAGGACCAGGTTATAATTTATTTCAAGTAAATTTTGTTAAAAGAGAGAGCTGTTATTAAGGGATTTGAAATGTTTGTGAAACCCTGGGTTCGTATGAGCCTGAAGGAGCGATCCACTTTAATCCAGGGAATAAGACTGTGGAACAGGAAGATGAGGTTAAAAATGCAAGATCCTTGTATATATTGAACAGAATCATAACAACTAGTATTCTGAAGAAACATGGAGACGTATAAGTGAATTCATTCAAATTGTTGTTTGAGTTGGTGTGTTAAATTTTGTTTTTAGTTCATTTTTAAGTGTTTTAAGTTGTTTTGATTTTTGTTATATTTTACATTTCTTTTGAACATATTTTGGGTATAAAAAAGGGAAGAAATAAGATTTATTCTTCTGCTGCTGCTTTTCATTTTATTTGATTTTATTTTGATTGCGGGTTTTTTTTTGTTCTTTTTAATTTGTGTTACAAATTAAATGAATAAAGTGAAACAACAACAACAAAACGCAAGTTGTCACAAATCTGGTGAGTTTTCACTGCTTAAACTTGAACACACAGTAGCTAATTTACCAACTTATTCAATGAAATGATCACTTTAAATATTTCTGTTGATCAATGTTGAGCTTCCACGTGATGAGAAACCCCACTGCTTTGCAGGAGATGAGGGAACACGCCCGGTGGTACACAAGCTTTTTTTTTTTTTTCTGCACAGCCTGGCTGTTCTGAGCTCTGCTTATATTCTGTCAGATTAGTGCTGATATAGAGGATGTGTTGACAGAGAGAGGACACTGCACATTGAGGCTGTGGGGCTCTTCTAAGGCTGGTGGCATTGCGACGTGAAGACAAGCACGCATCTGTGTGTCTATGTTGCGTGTATACAAGCAGAGGGTTGCCTGTGGAACACAACATGTGGACGCCCACCCACTCAGCAGCCTCGCAGCAATCGTCATTTCGCATCAATCCACAGCCCCTCAATATAAATAGGACAGGCATCCTAAAGCTACAGACTACTATGAGGAGCATTATGCATCGACCCTGGACCTCTTAGCTTGAAATATGGCTCTGCCAGCCTACTTTATTGGCAGTTTCTCTCTTACTAACACTCCACTCTGTTAACAGAACTATTTGAGTCACTGGATGTAGTAAACATTTTTTTACATTCTATTCAAGTTCGTAATAGCTAATTGTGAATTTAAATGGGTCTCGTTTAAGGATTTAGTTGCTTCTGTCTGCTTCCTCCAATTATTACAACATCTGCAAACACAGAGAAGTTGGGATCTTAAATACAAGTAAAGATGTTGCATTTTCTGCAAATCTGCAGCACGAATGCTTAATGCTTTTTGCAGAAAAAAAGGGAAAAAAAGTTTGCAATTTGTTGTAAAATAGCCAAACCATGATTAAATTAACAGAAAAGTAGCTTAAAAGCTGGAAAAGCTGAATCAACAACAAAGCAGAGAGAGCGCATGCTTGCTGAATTAAGCAGTAAGAAGCTGAAATAATCACAAAAGGTGAATTTAGCTAGGGGGGAAAGCTAATAGCTTAAAATAGCTAAAGAAAAGTAACAATTGCAAAAGACAGCTGGAATTAGAAGAAAGTAGTTGAAAAAACATGGAAAACTTTAATCAGATAGAATGAAAAATGTTCAAATTAGAAGAATAGCTGAAAAGAGCAGAAAATAGCTGAAAAAGCAGAAAAGCTACAATTAGGAAGAAAAAAGAAGCTGAAATTAACACAWAAAAGGTGAAAAGTGCAATAAAAATGTACAAACATTTTAAAGGTTTTTAAAGGTGTTGAAGACATCTCCATTCATTTTCAATGAGAACAAAAATGGCTGAAAAAGCTAAATATCTCAAAAAGTATGAAGTGCTGAAATACCGATAGTCAAAGCTGGAATGTCCTGAAGGAGCTGAATGTTTTGATATATGAGTTGCTGAAATAGCACAAGAAATGGTGAAATGAGTGTGAGTTAACTTATTTAGTTGTAAAATGCTTGTCTAGGTGGCTTCTATATGTTTACAAAATATTATCACTGTTCCAGCTCTTTTGAGATGTGTTGCTGCTACAATTTTTGTTCCAAAATAGGTAGAAATTCTAGGCTTTAACATTTGATATGTTTACTATGTTTCAATGTAATATATATGACAACAAAGGCTTTTGTACAAAGTATTAGATAAATTTCAGTAAGTGTGTTCAATACTTTTTCCCTGTGCCATTCCACATTATTACAAATAACTTCATTTCTGGACATTTATGGTTTGATTTCTTTGTATGTATGGATCACTTGGGTTGTTACCGACATCTGGTGAAAATTTCATGTCATTAGCAGCTCTAGTAATATATTTACTGAGAAAAATGGTGACGTGTTCGATACTTATTTTACCCGCTGTATACATATATATTCTAATGGAACTAAAGGTGATCAACCTATGAAGATATTCTATTTGCACCCAGTTGTTTCCAGTGGAAGTGGAACTGTCAGTCGGGTGAAATATCAGACTTCATTAACGCAGGGCCTCTGCTTCTACTTTTATGTAGAAACAATGGGAATATACCACACCTGATGTGTGTGAAGTGCATGTCAGAGAATATAAGTTGAAGGGTAGTTGAATGGTAACTATGGGCACCCACCCCCACCCCCAAACGGAATCAAACTGTTCACATGGAAACATTGTTTCATTTAGTCAAACAGCTGGAAGGTGTTGTYTGTTGTCTCAGTGTCAAATGAAAGAGAATGAACAAACATCTGGCGGTGCATTTTCTACTTCCACAGTTTGACTTATAATTACACTTTAACAAACTGACTCTAATGCACAAAGCAACTTGAATGAATCATATTCCAAATGAGGTCCAAACTCCTGCCGTGCATCCAAAGGTAACCTATCACTGTCACAGGAGAGGAGTCAACAAATCTTTTACTTCCACCCAGTGGCCAAAACATTTAAAGTCACTCCGCTTTATGCATCACTGTATAGGGCAAAATAAAAGCTGCAATCCATGGGTGCAAAAAATAATGAATCCTAAATCTTTAGTCATTTTATTTAAAATGTAGCACATAGTTAATATTTCTCCCAAAACCTTCCTTTCCATTGCTTCTAAAGCATTATGATAATCTTCAAAAACATAATCATACAAATTTTTCTCAAAAAACAAGACCATTCAGTTTTTTTAGACAAAGGAAATCAAAGGGATTCTTTATTTTCCGTATGTGTGTGTGTTGAGATTAATGGCTGAGATCATGATTGTGTTATTTTAAGAGCAGTTGGGCTGCTGGCAACCCACTGGCTTTAAGAAGAATGGCTCATTAATTAGAAATCAGTAAATAGAGTGGTACTAACACACCTCACGCTCGAAGCAYAAAAGTAAGCAAATACTTCAGTAAACCCATGAGGCAATCAAACGTTCATTTTTAATCAGAAACTTTTGTATTTGTGGCAGTATCCCCAGCCACTTATGTGACTGCCAGTGTTGGGCAYGCGGCACAGCCTGAAATTCTGGCAGTTAAAGTTGATTTAATGAACACGACAAGCAGCAGGAGAACGTAATCACATTTCATTTCCTTGAAAAAATGATGAATTCTCACTAACTGAATTCATCATAGGTGGCGATGCATTTAGGCATTAACCAGAAGCTGCAAATGATCTTATATTTTCATTTTAAATGCATTTGTTCTGATTTCCTTCACAATGGGAAAACTGCATTTTATTTTCTCAATAAACCTATGTCAGTATATCAAAATAAMAGAGGACAGAAGAGGAAAAAAGCACACAAACACTTCACAAACTAATTGTAGCAGGATGTTTCTTATTCTATACGTAAGAAAGCAATAAAATGCCTTCAGTTCCACTTGTACATTATCTGTCATTTGCAGGTTATTATGACCAAGGCAGCTCAATGTGCCGGCTCGTTTATGTAAATAATAAAGACTTTATTCTGTACAAGGTGCTTCCATAACGTTTTCAAGGGTGTGGCCAGATGGAGGTCACTACTGATAATCTTGGGGTGACACATCAAAACCAAAAACCAAAATAAAAAAATCAGGAGTTTATTACACTGTTGCTAATAGAAAAATACTGCAATGTGGGAATTAAACTCCAGTTTATTTCAAAATTGATATTACTGAAAACAGCACATCTCATATTTGAAAAAATAAAATAAAATAAAACATTATTATAAAAGTTAGTATAATGGCATTGGATTGTTGCATCAGATTTATTTTGTTCAACACAATCAAAAAGTTTTTTTTCCTTTTTTATTCCCAAAAAAATTCTAAAGTAGATTTTCTAAACTGTGTTATACTAATCCCGAATAGATATATGGGAAATTAAAAATGCACACCAAACTCAGGAAAACACTGTACATATGTATGTTGATTTCTCTAAAGCAATAGTGCTAGTAGTAGAAACATTATAAATAGAAAAGTCGATGAAAAAGCCTACTCTTAATGAGCTGAGCAAAAATACTTTGAGCTGATTACGCGATAACAGGCTATTTTAATTTGTTTTATTTTTTACTCAGGCATTTGACACGGGCAGCCCCGTGTCAAACGAAAGACCCCAAAGCGCCAAGATGGCGGCGCCGGTGAGCGATGCCGGGGAGTTTAAAAGCTGGCTAAACGATCGATTGGATTCGTTAGAAGTGGACCGTGAGGTGTACGGAGCTTACATTTTGGGGATTTTACAAGAAGAGGACAGCGACGAGGAGAAAAAAGATGCGCTTCAAGGGATTTTCTCCGCATTCCTGGTGAATATCTCAAGCGGCATGTCTTCAGACACCGTGGCTGTTTGTGTCTTCACATCTGCTGCTGTCTGTCTGTGTTTTGACCATCGGTTGGACCAAGTAGTAGTGCTGATCTCAGCAATATTTCTAGGTTTTGATATCAGTGTTTGAACGCAGCAGTTTATCTTAAATTAGTCACATAACTCAAAGATACAGCCTTTTTTGCTGCGCCAAATCCTCTTTAAAACGTGTGTTTATTACATTATGAATACCACCCGTAGTATGAACCAAACTTAGTTTATGCTAATGCTAGTTTGCTAAAAGTCTCAAATCAGTAAAATCAGCTGTACCTAAATAAATATAAGCTTGTAAGTAGTTTTGTCACATTTTATTTTTTTTGATAAAATGTAATAGTTATTAATAACCCACAGTATTACCCTGTTTTAAACCAATATGTTGGTAAAATGACCATACCACTCGTGCACTATATTGCAGAATGTCTGCTCACTTACCCACTTTTAGATTTTTATCAATCTGTGCAGGAAGAAGACACCATGGAAGATGTATGCATGCAGATTATTAACCAGTGGACAGAGTATTCCAGACAATCATCAGGGAGACAAAATACTGATGATGGTAATTGTCTTTTTTTTTTTCTTTAAAAGTATTTACCATAAATTGCCACACTTGAGAAAATCCCATCTTGCATTACAGTGATGACTGCTCAGTGCTCATCTATGATCGGTCTGTAAGGGAAGCGAAGAACAGAAAATCTTGCAGCAATGCAGTTCAAACTTAAGTATAGTAAAATGTAAATATGGTAATATTTTAAGGTTAAGAGTTTAAAATTAAAACTAACTAATTTAAGCTGACTAAAAATAGAAAACAGTTTGCCATGTTTGTAATTGTTTGCTGTGTAGATAAGGAAAATATTTAGTTTTAAAACTCCGGACCTTATCATTGTTGCGAAGAGCAGCTGTTGTTATTAATTTATTACAGTAATAAATAATAAATGTTTTTTTTTTCTGAAAGTTTTCATACATTGTGACTTTTTCCTCCTTTTAGCTGAGGTCCAGGCCATTGCCACCATGATAGAAAAGCAAGCCCAGATTGTGGTGAAACAGAAGGAGGTATCTGAGGAGTCAAAAAAGAGGAAGGAGGCTCTACTTGCTCAATACGCAAACATAACAGATGAGGAGGAATATCCTTTACAGTTTTCACATGTCTATAATACAGTATTGGGTGTTCCAGTCCAATACAGAAGTGTTTGATAATGATCCTCGAGGACCAGTGTTGTGCATGTTTTAGTTGTTGTCCTGCTCTTTGGAATGTCTACTAGCTTGTTTATCCCTCATTTATTATCAGGTGTGTTAAAGCATAGAAACATCTAAAACATGCACGATAGTGGCCCTTCGAGGACCAGGATCAGGACTACGCACCACTGGTCTAATATGTATTTACTCTTAAGATGTCAGCTCTTTCCTTAACAAAAGCACTGAAGCAGAAGAAGGGGAGCCAACCACTGGAAATGACCTTACTCCAAGTGATAAATGTATCCTTTTTGAGGATTTTGCTCATCATTGCTGTTTTTTTTTTTTAAATCACGTATATTATTACTATGTGAACATTTCATGTTGAAAATACAATGCCTTTACTAAGAATGCAAGCCTTGTTCAAGAACACCAACGTGGAAGAAGTGTTCAACAGACAGAAGCAAAAGCGGGAGCAGGCTCGAGAAGACGCTCAGAAGAAGAAGGAAATGGACAAGATGCAGCGAGAGAAAGACAAACTGGCCAAACAAGACAGAAAAGAGAAGGAGAAGAAGCGTACACAGAAAGGTGAACGCAAAAGATAAAACCAAAAGACACTTTTTGTTGTTCTGTTCTTTTTACCAAGAAAAAATATGAAACACTTTACCGTTTTGAGGCATAACTTAATTATGTAAAGCCAGTGTTAAATCCACCTTAATGAACTTTTAAGTCTCTTGTAAGAAATGATACAATTAATGTTGGGCAAGACTAAGATAAATGCATATTGTTCCCACTGACACCGATTTAAATTGTGTCTAACTAAAGATAGATGGCAGTTGTGATGGTTGAACTGGCGTCATGTTTTATGTCATGTAACACATGCTTTGGCAAAATTTAAAAAAAAATATTAACTCAAACAAAATGTACTTGTTTTCAAAACARCTCAATTCAGTGTTTACCCTCACTCTTTACGCCGCTGTTTAACAACGCCAGATATTTTTGAAAGCTCACTAAAGCAAGTTATGGTTTGTCCTGCTTTGTTTTCATTTTCAGTTTGTTTCACAAAGAACAAAGATTGCTAAATATTACCTCAAATGTACAACGTATCATCACATAAATGTTTAAGGGTTACCTTTTTCAAAATTATTAAAAAAAATTCAGACATTTGTGTGTTTTTGGGAATTTATTCTTGTTTCCCCGAAAAAACCGGAATAGGTAACAAAAAAATCAAACCAAGAATATTAGTTACAGGAACAGAACAACCCTGCTTTTACTTCATAAAGCCTCAGTAGTAAAGCATGGTATTAATGCAAAATACCTGTAGACACAAAGTCGCCCAGGCTTGTAATGAATGTATGCACACATGGATAGAAACTGACACATTTCACTGATAACGTTAATACATTTATATTTTTACTGAAAATTTTTAACTATCAATGTTTTATACTCTAAAGTTTTGCCTAAATTCAAAAATGTAAAACAGTACAGTGAATGGCAATTAAAAAAAATGTTTCACAAACACGAACATTTTCAGTTTTAAAAGGTTACATTTTACAAGTTAAATTTAAATTAAGCTTTAAAATAATAAACTGTTTAAAAAAACTTAACTGTATGTCCCTGATAAATGATTGTAACACTGTGTCTTTTAAGAGTTTGATAAATACATTTAAATATAGTGAACTTTTTTTTTAGAAGTTTGAGTATTGTTAGGACATTTTAAACTGAACAACTGACTTAAAAAAACTGATTTAAGAATCTTAAGGTTACAAAGAAAAGTTGAGTAGAATTGATTGGAACGTTACAGAATTTAGCATGTTAAGTTCAAACTATTGCCCTTGTGATTCAATTATTAGTGGGGGGAATACATAGAACACAAGTTCTGTTGTATTCCAATAAATAAGTAAAACGAAGAATTCACTGAAATCTTCCACATAAATAGTGTCCTTAAATACTGTGGTGATGGTACACAAGATTGGTGGTGATTTGGAGTTGGTCCTAATTAATTGAAATTAAGTTAAGATATGGCAGAGTAAACTAAATTTCATGTAACTCCTACACAAAAAAGAAGCTCTTTGGGGTCAAAACATTCAGTCATTCTTAAGCTTCAAAATGCTCATCTCATTTTTGTATTGATCACTCTTTGGCTGATAAAATGTTACATTAACCTGAAGGTAAATAATATCTTTTGAACATTTTCTCTTCCTCCTTATCAACTTCTTTAAGCCATGCTTGTAAGCAAAGTGATTTATATCACAAAAGAGTAGCCCTGAAACAGAAAGGAGCACCTCTCAGTGCATGTCGACTCCTCGTATGCGTGGTGGTCCTGCATCATCACAGGCTTCAGCAGGGTCATCTGTAGGGCACACCACAGGGCCGTGCGAAGCCTTTTGGTGGCAGCAGACATGTCTTTCAGCGCCACGGCCATCAACAGGTTATCTAAATAAAGAAGTAAATTAGAACCAGGAGCATCTCAGAGTGACAAACTTAGAGCACGTTTAGAAATGAATACCTCTGTCTTCAGTGAAATAAAGTCCCTGCTGCTGAGTTTTGGTCACGTTTGCACCGCCCTCTTTGCATCTTACTTGGGTGATGCAAACAGCCAAGTGGTGATTTTTCAGTGCTGCGTGGATGTTCACATGTAGGGAGATGCCGCAATGCTCCATTGTATCGAGAAGGCTTGCAACCTGCAACAAATAAAGCTATTTTTACTCTTTCACTTTATGTAAATGGCTTTTCTCTGTGGCCATAAAATATTTTTTAAACACCTATTCTATAAAAACAAAGTTTTGAGTGAACCATGTTTGCATTTCACAACAAGTCGCATGTTAACCAGTACACAGTACTTGCAAATCTACTGGAAATTCTGGTGCAAAAGACTTCTTAATCTACCAGAAAAAAATGCCTTATTGAAGCTGTAGTTGGTGATRGTGTTATATAAGCATGTAAAATAAGCAGATCTTCTGTTAACTGAATAAAATGAATTATCGTCACTCGAGACTGAGTTGCCAAAATACACCTGTAGGTGGCAGTATTACTGCTGTTAAGTCAGCGCTTTCACCTTTGCTTGTTCTCTCATCTGGTTAACAAGGAGCTGCTCCACTCTTGTAGGGTTTGGTGGTATTCTGGGTAGATTAGTGTCGGTCGTCACTGAGGTTCTTTTCCCAGGAAACGTCTTCTTAAGAACGATCTCWGTCTGAAGTAGAAAACACAAGGAAAAATTACAACGAGACAATAAAAAATAACATTCTGAACAATTAAAAACTATGTGTGACTACTCAACCTATTGACGAATATAAAAACGTATAATTTATGTGTAACTATGTATATTTTGTTTAAAATTTGTTATCTTAAAAAAATAAATGCTTCCTAAACAAAAACAAATCTACACGTTATGTGTTTGACTGACGGAGGGTAATTACAGTCAATGGCTTTCTAATTTTAATTTTGTATATTCACTCTATGTGTTTATGTATGCAAGCTGTTGTTTAATTATAATCAGTATCTTATACTCACAAGAAGTGGAACTAAAGTAATTTTATAATGTCAATGCATGTTAAAAATAAAATGTTATAATACCTAAACAAATCTAAAACATACCCTCTTTCTTTCCTTCTCCAAAGATTTCCACTGTTCATAACATTCATCCAGGCTGAAGTAGAGCTGCATCCCTGGTCCTCCTTGATTGATCATATGTGAAGCGGTCATRGCTGAGACCATACCATGATATGTGTTCTCTCCTCTGTACGTCATGTCACTGACGACGGAGTTGAAAGCAGCGGCCTCGTTAGCTGATATACCATTCCTATCGATACAAGGAACACCGTTTCTGAAGAGTCGTGAAGATCTAGASCTGAAGTCTGAGTTTCTGGGAGTACTGGGGTACCTCCTAAGGTCATTTACAGGATACCTACGAGGTGTGAACTGCTGTRGATTCCCTGCATAGACCACAGTGTTTTCTCCATCCAGTCTCTGATACTGCATGTTCCCCTGGAAATCCAAGTATGGGTTTTGTTCAAAGGCCTGCTTATCTCCCTCTGTCATGTGAGCGTTGCTGTGTTGCCTCCTACAGAAGCCTTCTCCAAGAAATCCAGGCATTTGCATCTTCCTTTTTTCTCTCTCCAGTTGGGACTTGATTTTCGCCTGCATCTGGCTCTGCTGGATCTGATGTTTTGTGTACTGGTTCATGCTTAAATTAAAGTTCTCTTTTGGCACTGCCATCTTGTTTTGGTGATGGTTCGTGAGGTTTGAATGTGAAGAAAGGGCCCTCGGTTTCTGAATGTACTCTGTGTGTTGAGAGCTGAAATCAGGAAAATCCTGAAAGGCATCGAGTTTCAAATGTTTTGTCCTCACTTCTCCAATTCTTCCCCTCTGCACCGATTCCAAGTCTCCCAGCAGCTGTCTTTGGATCTGCATTGCAGGAGAACATTGTGTTGACACTGCAGGACTGGTGACGTTCCACTGTTCCGGCAATCCTTGTTCTTTATGCAAGCCCAGCGTCTGCTTGTGCATGTTTGGAAACTCTTCATGACAAACGCTGTCATGCTCACAAGGCATGAATGACTGAAAGCTGCTGACCAGCTGGTTCACGTCTTCTTGWACATAATTCTCATTACAAAATGGATTTACACTGCTTGGGGTGTACTGGTCTTCGTGAAAAGCATCGGAGGAGGAGCCGTTCGTTTCATTTTGTGGTCTGAAGATTTCACTGAGCTCAGAGAAACTATTCAAAGGCTGATCATTCCCTCTGTCAATATAAGGTGACATGCTGATGTATTTACTTTGTTGCACCTGGTTAGTGTTCATCATCTTGACTACAGGTAGACCTGGTGGCAGCTTCTGAGGACGCAAAGAATGACTGTCTCCATTGGACGGATTAAAAACCCATGGTTGACTGCCAGCAATGCCACTGGACTGTCGACTCAAATTTTCACCCATTTTGTCAATTGCTTGTTGTTGTGATTTGCTCAAAGTCTCGTGGGATAGATGGCTCGAAGGTAATGAAGGATTACTGAGTGTTTTTGCCTCGGTCTTAAAATACTGCAGCAGTTCTTCTCTCAGCGTCTTTGGAGACCAGAAAGGACTGCATGTAGGTAGGCTTTAAAAAGATACAGTACATAATTTATTGTCAGTGTTAATAATAATATTCACTTTATCTGTTCTGTCGCAACTACAGATGGCACAATCCACCCTGCACATATGAAAACAACTGACATACCCCTCACTGAAGAAGCTGTCCCTCGAATCTGCTTCATCCAAAATGTTCGAAACTAGACCTTGCAGGTCTGCCTCAGTGTCACCATCAGCTTTATCGGTTGGTTTTCTTAAACCAAAAAATAAATATTTTTATCAAACGATAATTAATCGTGATTTTTTTAAATTTACTAAATAATCTTTTTGCCGTAAAAAAATCTACTTGTTACTGTTTACCTGTTTTTAATGCTCGTCTGGGTGAAACCAAACGTGTAGGGATCTTCTTGAGAGTTGTGAGGCCAGGTCATGTAGGAGGTGTTGTCCTTTTCTGGTTTTGAAGCCAGTGAAATGAACGGCAGTGACATGCTTCCACTATTTAGACCGGCAGAATTAACACCTGTCTGAAAAGAAAAAGAAATAAAAAAATAATCAATGTGAAGCTCTTATGAAAACAATCAGTTCCAACATTATTTATTTTTCATGCGTACCACAATACATATCTTAGCAATTTTAATAGTAAGCAATTTTTTTGCAGATTACATTGCTAGTCCTTTTTTTAATTTACTTGTTTAAACTGATGCCTTAATGTAACAGAACTTTGAGCGAGGGGAAAAAAACGTTGAGCTGAACCCAGTGTATAAATGTGTCGTGAACAGAGCAGTTTACCAATTTTCATGTTTCCGGACTGGTCCAGAAACTGCCCAGTCTAAAAACCTTCACATGCATGCCTTGACTTGGATAAATCTGAACAGTAAAAATGTCAAGAGTCTATATAATACAACAGAACAAAAATAGCTGTTGATGTTGACGTGATTTGGTAATTTCCTGGTTAATTATATTGAAAACAATAAACATGTAACTATGTTAGAAGAAAACTAATCAAATACTAGGTTTATGTTATTTTTCTGCTTGTTGGCTGAATATTTTTAAGGAGAATTTTTGAAGTTATTTTTTTTCGAGTCAAGTGTTTCATTAATCACACAAATACTAAAAGTTGGATACTAGCTGAGGTGGTAAATTATAGTTTCATGGATGTATATATTAGTTCAGTGTTTACAGGAAACTTTGGCTATCAATTATAGAATAGATTCCCCCAATATTTTACCACTTCATAAAATGTTGAACACATTATATATTAAATTAGAATAAAAACACACCGACAATACTTACCTGCCGCTGACTTGCTTGAAAGAGTGGATTTGAGGTCTGATGTCCGTCAAAAGCCATTTTGAGTTCTGGTCTGGGCGATTCTTCAGTTCTTCATTGGTCTAAGCATGGCAGAAAAAGTTCATGGTTAAAAGTATCGTAACCCTATCGGTACGGTATGTAGGTGTAAAATACGATACTTTTATATTAAAAGCTAAGAACTAGCTATTTCGGCTAACTCTAAAAAGGCCGTTGAACAGCATGAAGCTAAAGAAATTGACGCTGCTTTAGCTAACTAGCTGTTACAAGTTACAACTCGTAGAGCTAACTTACATCAAGTCAAGTTATCTGAGTTACATTAATCATCGAAAAACAAAACAAAAAAAATTTACCTGGATTCGGTTTAGGGGGGTAGAGATACACTTTTTCGGGTTTCACGGTTTACTTTGAAGTGACCTGAGTCCTCCTCCTCGCGAGCTGTTTCACTGACCCCTCCCCCTCCCCCGTCCCCTCAGTCCCTGTCCTCGTGACCTGAACGCACATTGGTTGAAAAGAAAGGAAGATCGTTTATTTTGTCCAATTAACATTAAGCTCGCGATGCGAGCGCATAGCAACGTCTTCTGCCGGCCCCTCCTCCATGACGGAGGAGACGCAGGTGGTTGTGCGTCCATCCACCTGCAGTTGACCCGCTGTGGACTCACTGTCCCGTAGAAAGAGTCTGAATTTATGTACTAAAGTGCCGAAATGCTCCATTTTACATCGTGATTTAAATGCTGACTGTTTTTCTGTTTTGTACTCTGCATTTTTTTACTCTGCATTTTTGCCATTAGAGTCACTTCATTTATTTTAATCAGCTTAGTGCTCCTTCATCATCAAACCTTTCAGCTCATTCTGAAGATGGGCGCTTTGACTTTATTTATTTATTTATTTATTTATTTATTTATTTATTTATTTATTTATTTATTTATTTATTTGTTTGTTTGTTTGTTTAAAATTATTCTCTTAGAAGTCTGCTTCAGCACACCAGCCCTGTTTTTATCTTGTTATGCTACATTTAGCTTTTGGCTATTGTTTGCTACTTTTAGCTTGTGGTCAGTTTTTAAGGAGTCACTACTTTTAGCTAACCTTGGCTACTTTTAGCTAGATGTTTGCTACATTTAGATAGTTGTGCAAAGTATTGCTTCTACCAGACTTTTCTATTTTTAATGTGAACTTACTGTTTTGCTATTTCAAGCTTTTAGCCTTTTTTTAGATGGACTTTTGCTACATAGTTTTTAGCTAGTGTTTTGCTACTTTTTGCAAGCTAGACATTTGCTACATTTAATTAAATAGCTAAATGCAAATGTTAGCTTCATACCAGCATTTACTGTTTTTAGTGTCTGTTTAACTACTTCAACCTTTTAGCTCAACTTTAGATACACTTTTACCTTTAGTAGTGTCTTAATACTTTTTTGAAAGTCTTGCTTCTTTTAGCCATAGACAATTGCAACTTTTTAACTATGCAAAATTTAGCTTTTCACCAGACCTTTTATTTTCATCACAAGATAATCAAGTCTGAAGTTTTTCATGAAAGGAGGTGGATGATATGCATTCCTTCAAAAAAAAATGGTAGTCTCTAATTTACTATTTACTGCAACCATCAGAAAGTGCCGAGACACCCTCTGCACCCCTGCTTCCCCTGCATTATTATTATTATTATTATTATTATTATTATTATTATTATTATTATTATTATTATTATTATTATTATTATTATTATTATTATTCACTGTTGATTATTGAGTTATTTACCCCCCCTCAAAAAAACTGAGTGCATTAGCAGCCTGATCTCCCAAAAAACTTTCCAACTTGAAATATAAAATAAATATCCATAGTATAACTAGTATATAACTTTAAGTATGTAACTTAGTATATAAGTACATAACTTTAAAAACTTGTAGGGACTTTCTCCTTTGATAAAAGTATTGTTTCAAGAAGAACCGAAAGTTTGGGCGAATCTATCTGTGGATTCAAGTTAATCTACAACACTGTAAAGCAACGAATACACAGGAAGTGAAGTCTTCAAAATAAAAGCATCTGTTGCAGCTCGGACTCTGCACAGGCCCTGTTTTAAGTAAATGAAAAGTCGCATTACTCTTTTATTATTTTATGTTACATAATCCCTATAAATGTTCATGAAACGTGTTTTTTACATAATTGTTCGACTTGTAGGACTTTATTTTGAAATCTTTATCATAGAAGTCGTGTCGTATGTAAGCGGCTTTGACAGGGGGAGAGGATAAAAGTAATGGGAAGAAAAAAACAGAAAAGAAAAAAAGTCAAGCAGCCAACCAGGAGATTGAGTTTAACAGAAACAGCGTTCATATTTTCACCTTCAGAGTTTACTGTCGTTTAAGGATTTGGTTTTTAAACACGTAAAGCGTCAAGTTGATCGCGTCTCTGGAAAAAGAAGATGACTGTAGAGTTTCGTTTTTTTGCTCTCCTGCTGCCTCTCCTGGTGTCAGCGCAGTATGAAGGAGACAATGGGATAATAATCCCGGAGCATGGATTTTGTCAGCCGATTTCCATCCCGCTGTGCACGGACATAGCCTACAATCAAACCATCATGCCGAACCTGGTGGGCCATTACAACCAGGAGGACGCGGGGCTCGAGGTTCACCAGTTTTACCCGCTCGTGAAGGTACAGTGCTCGCCCGAGCTGAAGTTCTTCCTGTGCTCCATGTACGCGCCGGTGTGCACGGTTCTGGAGAAAGCCATCCCACCCTGCAGRTCCATTTGCGAGAGCGCCAAGCAGGGCTGCGAGGCGCTCATGAACAAGTTTGGCTTCCAGTGGCCGGAGCGTCTGCGCTGCGAGAACTTCCCCGTGCACGGAGACGGCCAGATCTGCGTTGGCCAGAACCAGTCCTCTGCTGCCACCGTGCCCCCCATCAAGGCTCCCTCGGGGCCTCAAAACAACCCCGTGGTCTCCACATATGACAGACCATTCCACTGTCCCACAGTTCTTACTGTCCCTCCATATCTGAATTATAAGTTTCTGGATGAGAGGGACTGTGCAGCTCCCTGTGAGGCAACAAGGAGTGGTGGGAGCCTGTTCTTCACCGACAAAGATGTTCATTTCTCCCGTTTATGGATCCTGGTGTGGTCTGTCCTTTGCTGTGCATCGACACTGTTCACGGTAACCACGTATTTGATTGACATGCAGCGCTTTAGGTACCCCGAGCGGCCCATCATCTTCTTATCCGGCTGCTACACTATGGTCTCCATCGCCTACATAACCGGGTATTTTCTTGGAGACAGGGTGGTTTGCAACGACGGCTTCAGCCCAGATAGATACAAAACCATCGTCCAAGGCACCAAAAAAGAAGGCTGCACCATCCTCTTCATGATGTTGTACTTTTTCAGCATGGCCAGCTCCATTTGGTGGGTCATTCTGTCTCTCACTTGGTTCCTGGCGGCTGGTATGAAATGGGGTCATGAGGCCATCGAGGCCAACTCTCAGTACTTCCACTTGGCTGCGTGGGCCGTGCCGGCTGTGAAGACCATCAGCATCCTGGCCCTGGGACAGATCGAGGGAGATGTGCTGAGCGGGGTCTGCTTCGTCAGCAACCTGGACCCCCTACGTGGCTTCGTGCTGGCCCCTCTCTTCATCTACCTCTTCATCGGCACGTCGTTCCTGCTGGCCGGGTTCGTGTCGCTGTTCAGAATCCGCACCATCATGAAGCACGACGGGACCAAGACGGAGAAGCTGGAGCGGCTGATGGTTCGGATCGGGATCTTCAGCGTGCTCTACACCGTCCCCGCCACCATCGTGATTGCCTGTTTCTTCTACGAGCAGGCCTTCCGTCCCCACTGGGAGCGTAGCTGGGTCAGCCAAAACTGCAGGGGCCTGGGCATCCCCTGCCCGGCGCAGGCCGGTCACCCCATGACCCCAGACTTCACTGTGTTCATGATAAAGTATCTAATGACGCTGATCGTGGGAATCACATCTGGTTTCTGGATCTGGTCTGGAAAGACTCTGCACTCTTGGCACAAATTCTATACAAAGCTGACAAACGGGGGACACGAAGAGACCACTGTGTAGAATAAGAGACATTTAAATGTTGGTAATTAATTTCTGTTTTATTCCTTGTTGTTCATTGGTAACATTTTATAAAAAATTCGTATTTGCCTCAGCTTTTTAGAGACACACGGATGGACTTTTGGAACAAGACAAGCCCGACTGAATTTGACTCTAAAGTCTTCATTGCAAGCTATAAAATAAAACCTTAAAAAGGTATAATGAACTATATTTTATGGTGAAAGAGTTTATAAACAGTTCTTTTCTCGATATATTGATATGTAACGCTGTAATGGGGGTACGCACTCGGTGTGAACGTAGCACTCGGCTCAGTCAGCGATAAATCACATGGACGTTTGAGTCACGTGACGGACCTACATAAAGCTGACCATTATCTGACATTAACCATCAATATGTCCAAAAATATTAAGGTTTTTGTGAATGTGCAGTGAATACCTCTAAAGAACAAAATAAAAACTAGATTTTGTTAATGAACGCCAAAGAGTCAACCAAGGACATGCCGAAAAATGTGTTTTATAAACGGTTTGTGTGAACTTTCATAAAACTGTAAATAGATTTTTGTAAAAAAAAAAATATTTGTATTCAAAGTAAACATTTTACTATCTTCTACCTGCTTTGTTTGTTTATGCACTAGCCTATAAGAATATATTTATTCTAATAATTCAACTACAAGAATACAACAAATTATTACATTTTTGTTCCTTTGGCTTTTTTATGACACCCTTAAAAACATGCTGAGTTTCTGCATTTACAACTAAAAATGCTTGTCTTTCAGTTGATAGCCTCTTCCGACGTATTACAAGCACTGAACAAAAAACAAAAAAACTTTTGGGTTCTTACTGGAGAGGATTTGGATAAGCTATATATATATATTTTTTTAAAAAGTCCACTTCTGCGTGGTTGTGAAAATGTTCCGGCCGGCCTGTTCTGTCTAAGGGGATATTCCGTTTTGCCGGGTGTGCTTTTTCTGCTTTCGTGCCAGTTTGGAATTCTCCGAGTCATGCACGGCTGAAAGCGAGCCTTTTCTGCTGTGAGGTCACTGGAAGAAGACGGATGCGTTTTCAGAAAGCCGATCTTCGTGCCTCGAGCTCCGAGCGATTGTTTGTGTTGTTGAAGATGAAACGTTAAGATGTAATCGCGGGGCTGCAGACAGGCTCCTGAGTTACCGCTGYTGGTTTCACTACGACTCCCAGCGATTAAAGGCCCAGCGTGCCTTGAAGGAATGTATATCTCCTGCTGCCTTTCGTGACCGACTTTTAAATCAAGATGGCTGCTACAGCTTGTGTTAGTGGGTGAATTCAGAAGTATTCTCAGCTACTACCATTTAAAGTGTTTGCAGGATTAGCAGCCCACTTGAACTGGACCCAACTGTTACAAACTTTATCACACATGAAGGAATTCAGCATAATCTGTTTTCTCTTTGACTTTTCCTACATCCTAACATGGGGCTGAGTAATGATGGCCTGTAACAGACAGGTTAGAGTGAATAAAAGGAAGGAACTGATGCTTAGAGGAGGGGAAACCCCATAAATCAACCTGCAGCGTTTCTACTGTACCCTTTCACAACACCTCTGCCCTCCTCCCTGACTCCAGTCGGATGATTGAGGGGAACGTAAGTGAGTCAGTGAAGAGGCGCTGGGCCTTCGCCGAGTGACAGACAGTCTCCTGTGCGCCGCTCACTTCAAAGCGCCGCAGAAACCTGACTGGCTCCTTGTAAACTGTACTGCCTGGCCCGAAGGCCCACTTCCTGAGCTTAACTCAACTTAATGGCCGGCTTGTTTGGCTTTGCAGTGGAGCAGAGAGGCGAGCGAGGGGAGGCGGCCTGTGGGTGGGGTGCTGCAGGCAAAAGCGTTAGATTGTTTTAGGGTTATAAAGAGGGAGGGCTTTGGAAGGCAGAATGGAAAATTCTGTATTATTAGGTTACTTTTGTCTTTCTCCTGTAGGAAAGAAATGGGAAAGCGAGATCCAGAGGTTTGTTTTTTAATCGCTCGAAAAGCAAAGCGATAATATTTTTGCGCTTGTGTTTTGTCATTTTAAAATTTACCGATTTTAAGAAAACTTTTAGAAAGTAATCAGTCGGTTAACATCTACAGCTTTAGCAGTTAGCCTGATTCAAGATGGCTGCCACAACCAAGTGAGCTTAAACACATAAATGGCTATAACCAGTGTTGTATAAAGTACCACAAAGCGATACTTAAGTAAAAGTACAAGTATCTTACAAAAACATTACTTTGGTAAAAGTTAAAGTCTCCTTTAGTAATATTACTTGAGTAAAAGTTTTAAAAGTAACTGATATTTTTTGTACTTAAGTATTAAAAGTAAAAGATTAGATTTTCTGTAATGAAAATTACTAGGAGGTGACCTCATCAAAAAATGTACAAACGACTATATTGTAATAAAATAATTTATGTTAAACTTAGGATGCACTAGTCCAGCTGTTTCAGTTTATATACATATATCAAGGCTGCACAAACCTTTTCCCCAAAATAAAAATCTACCTGAGGGCTGCAGCCAAACGTAATAATATAATTCATAAAATCAAAATACTACAGTACTTTTTATTTTAATGATTATGTCCTGCTGGAGTGTGACATGATTTGTTTGTGTACAAACTAATACAGTATCAAAATTTTATAAATTTATACTTCTCATTCAACCACAAATAAATTCACTCTATCTAGGAGGCACTATGGATAGTATTTATTTTTTTACAATAACAAGCTGAGATGAAAACAAGCAAAAATGAAATAAAAGTAACAACTTTCTACTTCTTGCCTTTTTTAAAAATGTAAGGAGTAAAAAGTACAGATAATTGTGTGAAAATGTAAGAAACAGAAGTAAAAAGTAGGCTGATTACTCAAGTAAAGTACAGATGCCCAATAAATCTACTTAAGTACAGTAGCAAAGTATTTGCATTTAGTTACTTTAAAACTCTGGCTATTACTCGGTAAATTAAACAAACAATTTAAAATTTGGTGTGGTAGTATCTGAGACTGATCCTCAACTTCTGTTTTGAGCACCATAACTCTTCACTGATGATTTAAAACGTTGCCATCAGTGGAATCAGCTCTGTTGGTTTGACCGATCTGAAAAACAAAAACTCAATCGTTGACTAATCCTACATTTTGTAATCAACCTGAAACAATCAGAGCAGGTGCTGGGAATGACTCTCAGCTACTACCACACCGTTTAGCTCAGTATTTACAGTCATTTTGTACACGATTGTGCTTCGAACCGTGTTTTTTTTTTTTTTTTTTTTTTACAGAACAAGAACTATATCAGGGCTGTAAAGGTGCTTAAAACAAACATACAACTGAAGAGAAGAGGAGAAGAGTGGAAACGATGAGAAGAAGCCAGACATGGAGCCTGTTTCTAATCAAGTCCTGGTTCAGACCCAGGAAGAATTCACTCTCAGAGGGCTGAATTAGTTACAGTCATACATTTTCCTAACCAGAGACGAGTGATTCAAGAGCAAATATCAATCTGTCATGGTTTCACGAAAAACGCAACAGGAACTCCAGTGCATTCCTTTTATTTCTCTGTCTCTCTCCTGTCAGAGGTGATCAAATATGGAGCACAGCACATCGGTGAGAGTCTCTTTGTGTTTTAGGTTCCATCTTTATTTAGTGGCTCCCGACATTCAGCCGCAGAGCCATGTTTTTTTAAAAGTTTTTGAAATGTGAACGTTGAATGTTGGAGTTCACCTTGTTTATAGCAAAATACCTCACCGGTTCAATCTGAATGAAGTTGCACTAACTGACATGAAAAAAGGTTACAACTCAGTCGTTGAGCTCAGATTRGCTGGGAGTCATTCACAGCACATACTTTCAGCGTGACTTCTTGCAGATAGATGAGAGTAAGCGTGTAAGTATTTTTAAGGTTTGGCCAAAATGTTATAGCTCTGTCATTTTCTYGACAAACTCTGGTATGAAAGGCGTCGGGTGAAATGTGTTCTTTTAAAGAATGGTAGCTCTCCCTGGCTTATATAGTGACAACTTTATATTTTAAAAATAACTTTATCGTATTGTCTCAAAAAAAATCAAATAAACTTCCTGCAAAACAACCTTGTACATAAATATCCGACTCAATGAGTTTCACAACTTCACAGCTCGTATTTATTCCCCCATAAGGCCGACGAGCCGGGGACCACACACGGGTGGCTTCGGTTCCAACATTAAGACAACAAACTCTGGAGGCTCGCTCTAATCAAGTCCCGGCCCAGTTGGACTTTATTTTGTGTCCGATCCCTGCAGGCAGGATGGGGACGGGGGAGTGGAGGGGAGTGGTGTCTCTGAGCGGCTCCAGCTGCTGAGCAGAGGTGACAACAGCTGCATGACCCACATCTGGGGCAGCCAGCAGCACGTCTGGGAGGACGATAGTGCTAACTGGAAGGAGTGCGTGTGTGCGTGTGTGTGTGTGCGTGTGTGTGTGTGTGTGTGGAGATAAAGAGATAGTTAAAGCACATTCAAACACCGCAGTATGTACACAACCACTCATAAACTGTGAGAGTGATGACACACATACTACAAAAAGGACAGTTTTTTTATTTTATTTTTTTACGGCTGAGTTGTTTTTATGTTTTCCAGTGATTTCAAATGAAAAACATTCACACCAAAACCTTGAATGGTTGTTTCTTATTGAGAAATACTGTCTGTGTGTGTGTGTGTTCGTGTGCCCGTCTGTTACCAAAATATCTCATGAACCATTGGGCAAATTCAAACGAAACCTGCGAGAGGTAATCATTAGATGCATATCTACAACTGATTAAYGTTTGGAGTCAGCTCAATCCAAGATGGCCGCCACAACCAGCTGACTTTACAGAAACAGAAATGGCTAAATTCTGTTGATTTTACAGATTTAAATTAACATTTGGTTTAGCTGAGATTGATCTCAAACAAAATCAAAATGAACAATAGTTTTGTTTAAAACTTTGTCACCAGCTACTTCAGGTCAACACTGTCTGTCTGTTAGCAAAATTTCTCATGAACTAGTGGACAGCTTTTATTGAAACTTTCAGGAAGTGATTACCCARTATGTGTCTACAACTGATTGCCTTTTGGAAGCAATCCAATTTAAGATGGCCACCATAGCTAACTGATCTTAGAAAACGCAACAATAGCCACAACTCATTCAATTTTACAAATACTGAGCTGATATTTGATGTGGTACAAGCTGAGAGTCATTCACAACACATATTCTGAGCACAAAATCTTGCAATCTTGTTAATAATAGTAAACTGGAAATGTAAAACAGTTGTAAAGTTTTTGACTGATAAGACAATCAGGTCCTTGATGTGCTGCAAGGAAATACAAGTTTTTGTACATTGATGTCTGCTGCAGTGAGTGACTGCATGTTTTGCTAAACTAGGTGCAGAAAAAAAGAAGTGAATGGAGAAGTAATAATTGAATCCAAACACCGATGCTGTCATGGGCTCCAGTAAGGCCCAAGGCTACAATGAGGATTTATTGAGCGAGCTCCTCTCCGGTGAGCACGGCGGGCATGTTTTATTGGAGGCCCTCTCTGCAGCGCTTTGTGAGGAATTTTATTTTCAACACATCGCTCAAGTCTGGGAGAAGAACGGTGGAAAAGGGAAGAACACCGCAGCCTTTTTGTTGACAGTTGCAGAAATTTTTACGGCTTCAGAAAAATGACATCAGAGCTTCTGTTTGTAGGCCGTCTGTTTGTTTGTTGACTTCCATCGCCTCAGTTGTGCGACGAGGAGTTTCTCTGTCCGTCTTCCTGTTTACAGCTCGTCTCTATGAATAAAACWGCGGGAATGAGAGAGCGGTTAGACTGCAGTTCTTTAGGTATCTCTGTAATTTCACTCTCCACACAGTAAAATCGCTTCCATGTGGGCCCTCGCTAACAGCACAGGGGTGGAGGAGCCTCACTGCGAAGGTGGGGGTGAAACACACTCACACAGCCTCCCAAATGTTCAACATCAAACTGCAGCACCGAATTATGTTGTTACTTTACCATTGGTGGGAAATTATAGGGTCTTTGCTAAATTTATGATAATAAAAAAGAAAAGTGTCTTGTTTTTTTTTTTATAAAGTCACAAATGTAAAATATTTAAACTCTGACTCAGAAAAATGCGTCATTCAAGTTTTCAAGTTTGCACAAATGAATGAAAACTTAATGGTAAATTCTGTGAAAGGCTTAAAATGTTTTCTTCTTCTTCTTTTTTTTTCTTTTTTTTTTTTAGCTGTTGGCTGAAATGTCCTGGAGAAATTGAGGGCCAAATGGTCATGATTAATGTGTGAAAAACCAGTGGAGCAACAAACAACAGGACCTTTTGCACATCAAGGTCAGCGATCAGAAAAACCTCTGCAGTTTTATTTTTCTTTTCAGCTCAGCAAAAAAGAAAAGAAAGTTTTGAAACATGTCATGCCTACAAAAGAAAAAAAAACTTATCAGTAAAAAAAAATTGAATCTATTTTTTTGTTGTTGCAGTTTTTACTTCAGTGAGTACAATAAAGATGTTTTTTTATTTATCACAAACAGCACCACCTGCTGTTTAGATTTGTGTACTGCAATCTAAGTCCCAAGTATTTTTGTGGAGAAAAAAAAAATGTAAATACAGTTAAATAATCCAAAAGGTATAAAAGTTTTAAACACTTGAAGTCATAGAAYATAAATTAAGCCAACTATTCTGATACAAAAGGTTAAAATAACACAAAATCTGTGAAATTAAAAAGAAAAACAGGGGAAAAAAGACAATGAAAATGTCAAACTCTGGGTAGAAACTCACAGTAGATTTATTACCAGTGACACCCACAACCTAGAGTGTGAATTCCAGTGAAGTATATATATAT